TATAAAAGCAATTGGGGATTTGGTCTCACTCTAGAGACTCTGCGGGAAACCTGATGTCTGCGATGAGCACTCTTACATCTTGCAGAGCCAGTTTCACTTTAAAACATGGGTCTTCAGAGTTGCTGGCTGTTGCATAGCCATCCCCTGAACAAAATCACTGTATGTACAGAGTCACCCACACTAGTGTCGGCAGCGTGGAGTCACGGCCGCCTGTGTCCCTCAGACGTTCAGAAGGCGCTCGGAGCACTGGCCCCGGGGCAGCGGGGAGGCTGTCGGGCAGGTGCTGAGGGAGAGGTGGCTCCTGAGGAGTCTTGTGGTGGCTGCTGGGCAGAGGGGGTGACAGCCTGGCCTCGGCGGAGGCCGGGCAAACTCGGGGCCGGACAGAGAGCGGCCTCCGCTCTGCCCTGGAGAGTGGCTGGTGGCAGAGACTTGGGGGTACCGTGCCACCTGCGGACCACCCCCTCCCCCCTCTTCCACGCCAGCCTCCTGCTGTCCTAGTCAGGGGTCTTGGTTTCAGAAGATAGACTCCGACAAAGGGTTTGCTTAAGCAGAAAAATCTTATCTTGGAAGGAAACGGGGTAAGGACGGAGCGGCCAGGCGCGCGGAGCGGGCGGCCAGGAGGGAAGCGAGACTCGTGGCGGGAAGGGCTGCGGGAAGGGCTGCGCTTTGCTGGCCTCCTGCCGTGGGTGCGCTGGGCCAGCTAGTTCTGTTTTACACTCTCTCCTGAGGTCTCTGTCACTTAATTCTCCTTTTGGGAGAGTTCCTCATCTCTCGTCTAATCCTGTTGTTTTTTTGTTTTTTGTTTTTAATTTTAATGCTATCATTTTTATTTTTCAGTAACTAGGAAGTTCTCAGAATGTTCCTCTTTTGTTTCACAGATATAATGTCTTAACTCTTAAGGTTTCTCTGCATTTTGCCTCTTTTGAATTCCTTTTCCCCCTCTTTCTGGGGCTCTGTCTCTCCTGAGACCTATTTTAGGCTTTCTTCAAAACCTCTGACCTGTATGTCAGTCGAAGCATTCTGCTGTCCGCCTAGAACATACACAGGGTTGCATGTCAGTTACATGTCATTAAGGCTGGAAATAAATGGACAGCTTTAAAAAAAACTCATGAAAAGATCTGTGCTGGAAATAAAGACTAGTTATATTGGGGGGGACTCCCCCCACCATCTTGGTATCTTTAGGTCTTTCCTCTCGGGCCAGATGCGTGCTTTTGGAGAGGCCACATCTGGTCACCCGCCTGCCAGCGATTTGGGAGCCGGGAGGGAGATGCCACCTGGGAGTTTCTTCCTTAAGTAGATGGCCTCGCTCAGTTCCCTGCTTGCTTCCTGTGCCTTGTTCCCTCCCACAGTGGGCCTGGCATCCTGTCCAGCACCTCTCACCTCTTGGTCTCACTCTCTCCCATTTTCTCTGGAAGTCTTCTGTTGTGGCTGCTAAAACACTTGTTGACTTTTGAAATATAGGCTGGTCCGGTCTGGTTTGGATGATCCCTGGGGATCTTGCTCAAGAGATTTTGGCTTCTCGACTTGTATTTAATGCCAGGGCTCAGATAGCAGGAAGGTAAAAGGGGCAGATGTAAAGTGAATGACTTCATTTTCAGGATTGTCAATCATTTCATAGTTTACTAGTAATGAAAACACAGAGTAATGATTTCATGGTTAAGGATAGTTCTGAATGACAACTTGATGTGTAAAATGTTACGTTGATTATATAGCTCCCCAAACTGATCCTATCCTAAGAAATGTTATGTACTTTTGTCATTGAATGAGTCACTTTTCTAATTAATTGAGTTTGTTATCTTTCAGATCCTGTCACATAGGACACTATGCACCTTAAGATCCTGAAGAAGAGGCGCAAGATGTTCACGTGATGTTTAGAGATCATTTGTGAGGTAAGCGAGTGACTCTGGGCAGGTGTCTCGTCACGGTGTCCTTCCTGCCATGGGCATCGACTGTGTTCGTTGGAAGGGCAGCGCAGGCGGTACAGAAGGTCAGTCTTTTTACCTACCGGCTTTGGTTTGCTCACCACTTACCCAGAAGGTAGAATGTGCCTCTGGAGGGGATTCTGTGAAGTGCATTTGGAAGTTATCCGCACCTATTACAGGATGAGGTGCCTGCCAAGTGACAGTTAGTGGAAAGTTTTGCCCGGATGGTCGTCCACTCAAGTCGTGGTGATCTCCTGTGGCACTTGCCCTGTTCTGGGAAACAGGGCTTTCTCTAACATGAGCATAAACTAAGCTTAGGTTTGGGAGTGTGGACAAAATCCCATTAAGTTGGCCATTAAAGTCAAAAAAATGCTGACGCACCATCTGCTGGCCTGTTAGTCGCTGCGTGGTGCTTTCTGGTTTCTCTCAGAAATGGTCTTCAGCAGGAGATCGATGGCAGTGTGGCAGTGAGTGTGGAAAGAGACGCACCCTGACCCCAGGGACTGGTACACTTAGTGTTGCTGCGCAGATGGCCGTGCAGCCCGCTCTCCTGTGTCCCGCATGCGCACATGGTTCCGTGTGAAGGGGCTGCTGCTTCATTTCCTCCCCGCCCTTCCTCTTGCGTTCACGAAGTATAAACACGGTGACTCAGCAGAAGGCCCGTGCAGTGGGCTACACAGAACTGAATCTATCCGCCTACTCTGCTGTGTTCATTGACTGTTTTCTTGAAAATAAGGTGACTTTTGGGTATCAGATGATTTTCCCATTGCCTTCGGGTGGATTGTACAAATTTGGCTTTGTAACGTTTTCACATAAACGTCATGCATCCACATCCTCGTGAGCTTGTCTAGGAATCTCCTACCACGCCCAGGGTTGGCGTCTTTGTGGCTTCTCTTCCTGCAGGACGAGACCTGCCGTCTGCGGCCCGGGTAGGGGTGTGTCACGACAGGGCTGCAGCCGGCTCTGGGGGGGCGGTTCTCACCAGTGTCTCCACCAGGAAGGCTGGGCTGAGCTGGTTCCGCGTTCACCGTGTTTGCCTCTAGAGACTTGCGGTTCTTGCTTTCTGGAGGGAACTTAGACTGTACGGACATGCTCGGACAGAAAGCCAGCCTGTAGCCTCTTGTCTTACTGCCCTGAAAGGAGGCGCCCACTTGTCGTGGGCAGTGTCTCGCCAGAGTAGCCATAAAGCAAAATGAATTCTGGCCGGAGGAATTTTTCAGCTTCAGTGCTTGATGATGTATAGTTAGGATTCAGGAAGACCCTCTTGTGGAAATCACTAGGAAACTACTTGAGTCTGAGAAGGGGACCAGTTTCTTGGTGTTGCATCTGTCTGATAACAGACATGCACTTGCTGGGGGCCCAAAAGCGTGCACACCCCGAAAGGGAACACGGGGAGAGAAGCCCAGTCCCTCCGTGTGAGTCATTCAGGAGGTGAGACACACAAGGCCTCTCTCAAGATAGAAAGGGGTCCGTATGCTGCAGGCAGCACTGATGAGTGGGGCCTGGGAGTCCCAGGGAAGGGAGAACCTTCCCGTCACTGTCTCGGCCCCTGACAGAATGGAGCTGGACCCGGGTGTGGGCAGAGCCAGGGTCTGCTGTCCTCATCAGGCAGTCGCGTCTGGTGTTCAGAAACCCTCTTCAGAGGAAGAAGAACCCTTCAGGATGGCATGCTTGCGAGAGAGGAAGGTCAGGTCCTGTGGGGCATGGAGGGTTTGTGTGGGAGGAGGAGACGGGCACGGTGCTTGCAGGGGACGGTGGAGGGCTCGGCAGATGCCAGCCAGGACGGCTGGCTGGAACCCGTCCACGTTCTTTTTCTCTTTAGTTCCTTCTGTTTCACCTACAAAAAACCTTAAAGCTATTTTTGTCAGACCTAAGAGCAGGGTTCTTTTACTGCCAGTGGGACCCCGTTTCAGGTCTCTCTTGTACCGGTGAACATTTGTAGATCGCAAGGGAATTCTGCAGAGGGTTTCCCGCGTGACCTCTGTGAGCAGGCCTGTGCGTTCGTCCTTGTCGTCGCTGTGCTGCAGTTGGCGTGGGGGGCGGGGGGGGGCGAAGGAAGCCGCGCCCAGACTGGAAAGATGGAGCCAGCAGGGCTTGTGGCGGCCTCGGGGCATCCTCCTCTCTTCTGCTCCTGTTCCACGGCGCCGGGAGGCCAGGCTCTCGCACGGAGGGCGCTCACCCGAGCTCCGGTGCCAAGGAGGTACTCAGGCCATTCGAGAAAACACTGTTGGTGCTTCTCTGTCCCTTGTACGAACACCTCGAGGCCCAGTGAACGGACTCCTATGTCCCCTCCTTATGTTTATCACGAGCGTCCAGCTGCCCTCCGGTCGCATGCTGGTCACAGAAGGGCGTGCATTAAAGCAGCAGTCCAAACCAGTCTGGGGGAAGTTTCTCGTGAGTTCCTTCAGCCCCTGTGTGCGCTCAGACACAGGTACTGTAGGAAATACAGGAAAGGTGTCGGACGCAGAGCTGAAGGGACAGATTAGCAAGTGAAGACAACTTGTAGGAGAGGAACGCAGAGAGGAAGGCATTCCAGAAACTGCAGAGTTGAGGGCGAGCGCACCGGAAGCGGCGGCCCCGGCCTCAGCGCTCCAGCCCGGGCACGGTGGGGGAGCGTGGCCCAGCGCGGCCCAGCGCGGCCGGCGGGGGAGGCGGGCAGGAGCTCGGCGCTCTGGGGTCCACACGCCAGCAGAGGATGGCGGGGGGCGGGGGCTCGGGGGCCGGGGCTCCGCACACACGGGGCAGCGCGGGCTCTGGCCGCATGCCACTGGCTTTGTCGCCCCCGGGGCTGGGAGTCTGCATCTGGCCTGTTCCTTCCACTGTCTTCGCTCCCCTGTGGCTGGCCGAAGGCGAGTGTGCGTGCCTCTCAGCATCACCCACACGGTGGGGCTGGCTGTGTCACAGGCTGTCACCTAGTCACTAAGGTGGAAGATTGTAGGGTTCAGATCTTGTTCAGTTGTTGTCTTCTTTTCTGCCCTGTTTAGACGGTCCTTGTGAGACGGCCAGGAGCAGAGGAAGCCATCAGGCTTCAGGTGGCCCATGAGCAAGCGTGCGTGTGTCCCCTGAGCCTCATCGGCTCTGTCCGTTCCCCTCTAGGGTGCGCCGGGGAAATCATGCCGTCATCAGGACACCGGCTTCGGGATGTCGAACATCATCCTCTCCTGGCTGAAAATGACAGTTACGACTCTGCGTCCTCCTCTTCGTCGGAGGCTGACGTGGCCGACAGGGTCTGGTTCATCCGCGACGGCTGCGGCATGATCTGTGCCGTCATGACGTGGCTCCTGGTCGTCTATGCGGACTTTGTGGTGACATTCGTCATGCTGCTGCCTTCCAAAGACTTCTGGTACTCTGTGGTCAACGGAGTCCTGTTTAACTGCCTCGCGGTGCTGGCCCTGTCGTCCCACCTGAGGACCATGCTCACCGACCCTGTGAGTACTCCCTGTCGCCCTGCACTTCCCGTGTCGGTCATGGGGCGCCACAGACCCTGAGGTGAAGGGCCTCCTGCTCCTGTGGCCTCAGGCTTTTATTAATTCCCGGGTACAGGCTTGTGGCGTTTGTCATTTCTTCTTTTTTTCTTTAAGTTTATTTATTTAAAGTAATCTCTACGCCCAACATTGGGCTTGAACTCAAAACCCCAAGATCAAGAGTCGCTACTCCACTGACTCAGCCAGCCAGGCGTCCCACATTTTTCATTTCTATTTTAGTTTAGTTTAGTTTAGATTTGAGAGAGAAAGAGAGAGCAAGCTAGAGAGAGGGCCCGTGCACAAGTGGGGGGAGGGGCAGAGGGAGATAATCTCTAGCCGACTCCCCGCTGAGCAGGGAGCCCGACGCAAGACGCGATCTCACGACCCTAAGATCCTGACCTGACCGAAACCAAGAGTCAGACACTCAACCAGCTGAGCTACCCAGGCGCCCCACATTTTTCATGTCTTCACTGGAGAATAAATATTGCTCAAACACAAATGATGTCACAGTGCAGCAATGGAAAATAGCCCGCTGGGCAGTTTGTACGGATGGAGAGATTGTAACTAGTTGATTTATAAATTCCTCCTGGTTTAAATACTGTTCCTCTAAAGAACAGACTGAGATCTGGGTTTTAGATTTCACCACTTAACTAATTTTAAGTTCTTTGTAGCTTTACAGTTCTCTCATTGTTCTGTGTCAGCTGAAGTCTGAGGCCACGTGGGCCATGTATTGGGCTCCTTTTGGGAGCAGGTTCTCTGAGAGTCAAGAGGGGCCAGACCTACCACCGTGAACTGCCCTTGGTCCCTGATGTCTTGAAGGCCACTGGATTCAGAACCTCTGTGTTGGGTTTCCGGCTCATTCTCTGAGGTCTGAGACCTCCTTGGGGTGGGCAGAGCAGTACAGACCCTAGCAGCTCAGCCAGAAGTCACCCCCAGAGCCCGGAGATGCCCAGGGCCCCCGGGGAGAGGTGACTGCCGTCAGGGGAGCCGTGCGACAGGCCGTGCCACCAGGTGGTCCCTGAGGAGCGGCATTTGAAAACCGCTTTCCACAGCATTAAAACTTCGGTTTCTAACTAGTGGTCCAGGGGCTCCTGATTGAGGAATTATCATCTACCCGGTTCATGTTTGTTGGTAGCTTTCTCTACAGAAAATACTAACAAGTTAATATCTTGTTGGTACAGATTTTTTTTTATAAATTAGATTAGGAGTCTGTTTGAGGATGAACTGATACCGATCGGTCCATAGAATGTGGTTTACATGCACTTTTATCTGACTTTTGCTGTCGGAGTTCATATCCCAGGGGCTCTTCCTACGCCGTTCACTCTGTCCCTTGCCTAGTGGGGGTCTTGGGCAGAGGATGGCATTACTGAACTGGCCGCTGGGCAGCAGGGAGCAGCATCGTGGGACACACTGAGACTCAGGGTCTGCTGGTGGCTTCGTAGCCTCACCTCACAAAGATTGTGCCATCTCTGACCACAGCCCAATCCAATGTCCCTTCAGAGACTTATCAGAGGCCCTCTCCTCATTCCCTTTTATGCAGCAAAGTCTCCCTTTGGGAGCGAAACCCTGCTCCTAACCCCCGCAGTCCCAACTCCTGTCCTGACCCCCCTCCTCCTGTGGGAAAAGGTCTAACGCTTAGTGGAAGGCCCAAGAGCTGGGGAGGCCGGGTGGTGGGGAGAAGGTGCGTGCACGACATTGCACGTGTCCGTCATGGGCACATTCATTCTCCTTGCTGGGTCACTACAGAGAACACTGGGCAAAGCGTCAGGAGGGAGGTCCAAGGTTGAGGAGGAGTTTGGGATCTTGGATATCAGGGTTTTGAATTCAAACTGAATTCATACCCCACAAAACTTGTGCTTCTAAAGTGCACAGTTAAGTGGGTTTCATGTAGTCCGAGCTGTGCATCCACGACCACAGTCAATTTTAGGACATTTTCATCACCTAGAAGAGAAGCCCTGCACCCCTTAGCCATCACTACCCAGGCCACTCTCCCCCCAGCCGTTGACACCTGCCCGCCCGCTTTCCGTCTACGGACGTGCCTATTCTGGACACTTCATCTAAGTGGAATCCTATCATATGGGGCTTTTTATGTCTGGTTTCTTACACTCAGCATGAGGTGGTCAGGGTTCATCCACACTGTAGCACGTATCAGAACTTTGTTCCTTTTTGCGGCAAAAGGATGTTCCATCGAACGGATACGCCGCATTTTGTTTCTAGGCGTGATTAGTTGAGGGACATTTGGGTTGCTTCTACTTTTTGGCTGTTACAGATAATGCTGCCGTGAACATTCCCGTGTAGGTGTATTTCATGTCCCTTGGGTAAATACCTAGGAGTGGAATTACTGGATCCCATGGTAACTCTATGTTTAACTGCTGGAAGAACTTCCAGACTGGAGAGCATGCCCCCACCAGCAGCGTGCGAGGGACCTAGCTTGTCCACATCCTCATGCTCTTGTCCATCTCAGATGACTGCAACTGAGGGTCGCGAAGCAGTGTCTCACAGTGGTTTTGATCTGCATTTCCCTAATGACTAATGATGTCGAGCATCTTTTCATGAGCTTATTGGCCATTTGTGTGCCTTCTTTGGAGAACTGTCCATTCAAGTCCTTTGTCTCTTTGATGTCACTGTTTCAGCCGGGCCACATGTCAGGACTCTGCTGGCAAACTACAGACACAGCTAGAGTCAGTGTAAATAAAACTGGGGACACCCAGGGGAGCCTGCGGAGCCCAAGGGCAAGGACACACCTGGCCCCTGACAGGCTGGGGAACCGGGTCGTGCAGGCTGTTGTCAGGGCGGACCAGCGGGAGAGCAGGCTAGGCTCCTGGAGCTTCCTCTGTCCCTTCGGGTGCCTGTCTCTCCCTGCCGTCTAGTGAGGAAGGGTAGCCCCACAGACCAGATCGGATTGGAATCATTAAGGGCCAAATCCCCATTTCTGAAGCAGAGAGTGCACAGCCCAGCACAGTCACACAGCCACCCTTTGTCCCTCAGCACGGGGAGTCTGCTGTCTTCTCTTTGCAGGTCACGACTTTACTGTCCCAGGGTCCAGTCTGGGCTGAACTAGAACCGAGATGCCGTGTCAGGGCACAGACCCCACTGGGACCTCAACAGCATTTTCCGAGGGAGCAGGACCAGTTGATTGGCTTTAGTTCATGTTGTTACTTGAGAATAGGCCCTGGCTCTGGGGAGCAGGGAGGAAGATGGGGTCCTTGAGAGGTGATGGCTCTTACTACTGGAAGGTGAGACTTTCACCATTCTTAACATCCAGGAACACACTGAGGACTTAAAATTGAGAAAGACCACCCACGACCCAGAGCCCGCTGTCCCAGACCCTGGTCTGTGTTCACGAATGTCCACTTTGTCAGCCGGCGTCTGCTGAGCACCTGGCGGCAGAGGGAGCCCTTTGTGGTCCTGTCCCAGGCACCCGACGGAGGGCACCCCTCTGGTAGTCCACCAGCAGCGAGCAGAGGTGGGTGGTCAGTCCACACCAGAAAACGACCCCTCAGCTGCACCGGGAACAAAGCGAGGCTTTGAACAAGGTTCGCCTGTCACCAAAGTCCTTGCCTTTTTGTTAACTTCTTGTAGACCGTTTCCAACACACAGAAGTCGAGCGGGAAGCCCATTAGCCCCTCATGGTCAGTCTTGTGTCAGCGATACCCTCCCTGCTCCCTCTCTTCCCCTCCCCAGAGCTTCTGGAGGTAAATCGCAGATATGATAAAACTTGATTTGTAAGTATTTGCGTGGACATTGAAAGAGGAAGGGCTCTTCTTCGGGAAAGCCTAGCTGCACGTGCGGCGACCCCTCCATGTGTGCGCGGCTGCACGCGGCCGGCCTCGGGGTCTCGGTCTGCTCACTCCTCCTCGCCGGGAGCCTGCGCTCTGACGGTGGGTGACTATGTCTTCCGCTTCTCAGTCTCTGTGTCTCGGGATTTTTTTTTTTTTTTTTTTTAAGATTTTATTTATTTATTTGAGAGAGAGAGACTGAGAGAGAGAGCACATGAGAGGGGGGAGGGTTGGGAGGGTCAGAGGGAGAAGCAGACTCCCCGCCAAGCAGGGAGCCCGATGCGGGACTCGATCCAGGGACTCCAGGATCATGACCTGAGCCGAAGGCAATCGCTTAACCAACTGAGCCACCCAGGCGCCCCTCTCGGGATTTTTTAGTGGAAGAAACGTGGGCCTTTTGTCTTGGAGCTTTCGTTGCACTCTGGAGTCTTCAGCTTACACCCCTGTGCCCGTTTGCACGTGCTGCCTGTCCCCTGGGCGTTCATAAATGAGTCTGTAGGTCTCAGGGATAGCCCCGTTCTCAGCTGGCCCTTGAGTAGGTCCTGGGGAATCCAGAATGCATGACAGGGAGTCGGGGAGACAAGATGGGAATATACGGGAGGAAAAAGAAAACAAAGTACATTGCAAAGCGTAACCTCCCCGGACATAGCCCGTGGCTGGGAGCCCTGTCCCCGAGGGCGGGCATCTGGTTCCTTCCCTGTAGTAGATGAGAGGTGGATGTGGGTGTGCACAGTGGGGGGACCGGGTACTGGAAGAGGCGGCAGGAGAGCAAAAAGCTGTTCGGGGTAGTGGGGCGCCTGAAGGCACTGCTGTGGCCTGGGGAGCTGGGCATGAAGCATGCAGATGGGTTTTACAAGAAGCACCCCCTGATGCTTCTTCTACTCCAAGTAGGAACGTGAGCCTGAGGACCACGTCTCTGCTCTTTGGGTTTCTTTGGACGGCGTGAAGAGCGGCCCCACAGGTGCGAGCAAACGGGCCCTCCTCTGGGCGTGACCCGCGTGACCCTCGGTGCTGATCTGGGGGGACAGCACCCGCCCTTCTGCTTGGCATCTGCTCTGTGAAAGCACAGTGAGAGAGACCCAGAATCCGAGTGTAGGTCACCAGCTGCAGGGCGTCAGCCAGGCCGTCTGGAAGCCCTGAGGGGCTCCGCTGCCTGCCCAGGGTTCTGAGCAGCAACCCAGAAGGTCTCCAGGCAGGATCCCGAAGATGCCCAAACCACCGCGCATAAGCCCCAGCCATCAGGCCCCACCTGCCCTTGCCTCAGGAGACAGTCCTAAGGGATCTCCTGGGAAAGACAGGCAGTTGTTCTGCTTTCCAGAGGAGTCCGGAAGGGTATTGTAGCGGATCACAGTTTTTACTGTGGAAGAGTGCATAAAAATTAAGGTGTGTGGAGTTTTAAAATCTGGTCCATTTCCTCCTATTATGGAAACATATAACGTTGAACTGTCACCAGGAGTGTGTATGACGTTACAGGATTTACAAAATCATTGTATCTTTAAGACTCCTGGATCAGTGGAGGAAACTTGATTCAAGACTCCAAATTGTGGTATGTAAATTAAGTAAAATGTTTTGCCTAACATTCTGGTTTAAATTTTCAAAGCCAAAACATTTTAAACCCTTAACTGTTTAATCTTCTTTAAGGAGACAATTGGAGTGGTAGGAAACACTAGGATCTTGACCAGAATAGCTTCCCTGTGTTAGGACGGTGCAGGGACAGGTGCCTGCGTGGAGGGAAATACACTGGTGGAGGGCGGGCCGGAAGCCGCCCCTCCTGTCCTCAGGTGGCTCATAGGGCTCTGGGTCTGGCTTGCTGGGGGCCTTGGAGCTGGTGGTCCTCAGTCTCCAAGCCCAGCACACTCACTGCTGAGCCTTGTCAAGCGTGGGTGCTGGACCCCACCTCACACAGGTTCAGCTCTCTGGCGCCAGCCCGGGCATCCAGGCTTTGAGAAGTCCCTCGCCGTGCCCACCACTGTTCACTCCCGCCTTGCATCTCCTTGGGCTCGTGCTCCCTCCGCAGCCCTGGGCTGCTCTTCCCGATGTGCATTTCTGCTCCAAGCGCAGGCTCCGTGGCGCTAACCAAGGGGAGATGAGACCTTGTTCCCGCCTTGCCACGTGTAGAACCTCCTCCTCTCTAGTGGGTCACCGTCCTCAGTGCACCCCGCCATGGGTCCCGGAGTCCGTCCCACAGATGTGTTGTGGCCCTCCATGCCCGCTGCACAGGCCTCACCTGCTCCTGGCCGCCGGCGCCCCACCTCGGCCAGCATGTGGGACACCAGCAACTGCACCATCGCCACCCTAATGCTGCTCCTCCCGGGGCCGAGCCCCGCCCATCGCGTCAGGTGCTCAGGGCCACACTTTGCAGGTGCGTGTGTGAGTGCTCTTGATGAGGTGGCAGGTACCTTGCACAACTGCAAATACGAGATAAAGTCCCTTTTTGTTATCGCTCTGTGCCGTGTTGCCCTCCGGCAGCTGCTAGGAAAGCGACACACTTACCATGAAGCCCTGCCCGTGAGAATGGGGTGACACGGAAGTGGTGTCGACAGAGCATTCTGCCCTTCAGCGATAATCAGCTGCCCTTGAGTTGGAATGACTTGACAAACAGACCTCGCCTCTGGTGTGTCCTGCCTTAAGCTAGAAAGAACTCAGGTGACCTACCAGTTTATGAAGGATAAAGTATTTTGAGTTCATTTTAATACATGTGCTATTTTTCATGGAAAATCAAACTCCTGATCGTGTCTGAGTTATACGGTTATTTTTCATTTTTGTCTTTTGGTTTTTAAGTAGGCTCCACGCCCAGTGGGGAGCCCATCCGTGGGGCTTGAACTCATGACCCTGAGATCAAGACCTGAGATCAAGAGTCAGACGTTTAACCGACGGAGCCACCAGGCGCCCCTTTTTGTCGTATTAATGTACTTTAAGTGGCAACCACAGCATTACGAATTCTTTTACAATGTATAAAATCTAAGATTGATCCTACATTTATTGTTTTGTTTTTTTTTAATCTTTCTTTCTCTCCAACCAAAACACATTCTTGCTGAACTGCAGGGGGCGGTCCCCAAAGGAAATGCTACTAAAGAGTACATGGAGAGTTTGCAGCTGAAGCCTGGAGAGGTCATCTACAAATGCCCCAAGTGCTGCTGCATCAAGCCCGAGCGCGCCCACCACTGCAGGTACCACGGCCCCCCCCAGAGCAGCCCGGGCGCCCACCACTGCAGGGACCACGGCCCCCCCCAGAGCAGCCCGGGCGCCCACCACTGCAGGTACCACGGCCCCCCCCCAGAGCAGCCCGGGCGCCCACCACTGCAGGGACCACGGCCCCCCCCAGAGCAGCCCAGGCGCACCCACCACTGCAGGGACCACGGCCCCCCCCAGAGCAGCCTGGGCGCCCACCTCTGCAGGGACCACGGCCCCCTCCCCAGAACAGGAGGCCCTTCTCGGAGGCCTCTTGCCAGCACCTAATTCTGTGTATTGGATGCGTGAACTGGGGTTGTATGTTCTCAGAGCATGGAGTACTGAAAACCAGACTTCTCCTTTTCAGTATTTGCAAAAGATGTATTCGGAAAATGGATCATCACTGCCCGTGGGTGAACAACTGTGTAGGAGAAAAGAATCAGAGATTTTTTGTGCTCTTCACTGTGAGTAAAAGTACTTGTGTGGTGACTTAAGTTGAGTGTTCAGTTCTTTAGAATCTTGTCTGGAGCAGGTGAATTTATTCTCACATCAGACCACTTTCTCTCCAACCTTTTCTCCGGGATTGAAATGATAATACCGTGCTGTCCTTGGCAGGAAGCAGTCAATGTTGCTTGTGTGACTGTTTTAGGTGTTTTATGCGGTTTCGTTCTCTCTCAGATACCTTGAGTCACAGTTGCTAATTAGGGTCTTACCGAAATGTGTTAGGACTCCCTTCCCTGCTGTGTGTTCTGGGGGATTGTGCTCCTTAGTGTAGTATGACCCCGGGCGGCAGCTGTGAGCTGCTCTGATGGATTCCTCCCCTCATTAATCTACTGATGATCGAAATGGAAGAGAAAACACGCTGACGTAGATTTTGCTCCTAGAAACACGTGATGGCTTCCTGGTTGCTAATGAGCTGCTCTCTTGTTCCAGATGTACATAGCTCTGTCCTCAGTCCACGCTCTGATCCTCTGTGGACTCCAGTTCGTGTCCTGTGTCCGAGGGCAGTGGACTGGTGAGTCACGCTGTGTGTCCCCTTCTCGTGAGCACATGCTGTCGGGCAAAATGGGAAAAGCTAGAAGAGAAGATGTTCCCATCAGTTCTTAGATCCCTTTAGTGAGGAGTACGGGTTTCAGGTCTCCTGTCTCATGAGTGTACTGAAGCCACATACGCACGGTCCTTGCTTAGCCACGTACCAGTTCCTGCAAAGCGTCCCTGCAGAGTTTAAGACTACCTGGAAATGAGTGTCGTTCTGGCAGACGTTGAGTTTGCTTTCTGGTTAGCTAGCTGGGAATTGTCAGTGTGGGCCTCGAGTTACCGTATCGGAGCAAACTGCAGCAGGTGCAGTAAGGTGGGCACTGATCGCCCCTCCCTGGACGGGCCAGCAGGTCGGCCAGATGCGCCCCCTGGGGGCTTGTGCGGAGCAGGGTGGGGACGCGGGGCTGTCCTATCTCCTGGCTTCCCTTGAAGGTCAGTGCACAGGTACAGCTTTCCAGAAACCTCGGGTGAGATGGGAACTGCTGACCAACAGCTGGTGGAGTGGGTTTCTGCCAAGAAGGGCTGACTGCCTCCGCGCCGCGGTGAACAGTGAATGTGCCATTGACAGGCGAGCACGGCAGTCCGCTGGGCCTGGTTCCGGGGCTGGCTCCACGAGGATTCTTCTGTGAGCCGAACACGATGCTCTGGGGCCCGCTCACAGCCCGCTTTCTCTTGTTCACAGAATGCAGTGACTTCTCACCTCCGGTGACTGTAATCCTGTTGATCTTCCTGTGCCTTGAGAGTCTTCTGTTTTTCACTTTCACTGCAGTTATGTTTGGCACCCAGATCCACTCCATATGCAACGATGAAACGGTACGCTTCCTTCTCCGGCGCGCCTGCTTGACGTTATTTGGCTTGAGTAAATGGGCAATCCCAGGGTCAACAGCAGGTGCGGGCGTACTAACTCAGGAGATTGATAGGACAGGTTCTCTGTGTTTGTCCTTCCTGTCTTTGTGCGTGGTGCAAACTCAAGGATCAGTTTGATTTGAGAGTCAGCAGATCCGGGCAGATAGAGCCAGGCTGATTCCCAGGTTCTAGGAGACCCAGCCCCCCCCAGAGCAGCTATGTGTGAGGTGCCGCGAACGAATGGCCTTCATGCCTTTGAACTGTAGATCTAGAGCAGGCACTTGATAAATATTTGTAACAAATGCAAAAAAAGTTGGTGGCCTGACCCCAAGGACTGGCTCCTTCCCGCCACCGCCGTGGCTGCCCGGGCTGGGTGCGGGTGGCCACTTGGCCGGTGGCTACAGCCCGCAGGCGCTCAGGAGGCCGTGGGGCTGGCACAGCAAGGAGGGTCTGCTCTGCTGGCCACCGAGGGCCCACACGTCGCCAGAGCATCTGGCTGTCACGTGGAACCGGATTCCAAACTCTGGTGCTGGCTTCTCTGCTGTGAGCACAGGCCTGCACGTGGTGGGGGTTCCGCGGGGGCTGCCGCCCACCTGCGATCCTCTCTGCTTCCAGGAGATCGAGAGGCTGAAGAGTGAGAAGCCGACGTGGGAGCGGAGACTGCGATGGGAGGGGATGCGGTCTGTCTTCGGAGGGCCCCCCTCCCTCCTCTGGATGAACCCCTTTGTCGGCTTCCGGTTTGGGCGGCTGCAGACCAGACCCAGGAAAGGGGGCCCAGAGTTCTCTGTCTGAGGCCTCATCATGCCGGAACTTGTCAACAGACTTTAAGTTATTTATTTGGGGTCTGAAAGGGTATCAGTAGCTCGCCTGTGATCATGAGGGCAGACGAAACCTACACAGACCAGCTGCTTGCAGCAAGCAGAGTTTTCTATATTTATAATCACAGATTGCAGAATTTCGAAACCAGTGATGGGGGGATGCTCTGGCCAGTTTTCGCCTGTATGACTAACGAGAGGTACGTGGCCACGTGAAGAAGCCAAATGTCATTATCTTCCTGCACAGTTAGGATTTTTGTTAAGAACACTTCGCATTTTCTAAGAAGTTGTGTGGGATATTCCATGGGTGATTAAAATCCTGTGTATTAAGCTGCTTTTTTCAATCATGAAGAAAAAAAAAGTCAATCCAGTGAATAGGAATTCTCCAGCTAATGGTTTCAGGGTGTTCCTGTTGACCCTGGGCTTCATTAGTGCACTCCCTCGAGCAAGAAGGGGCGTTTACATAGAAACACATTTTGGTCTCAATGAGCTCTGACACTTTGCACTGAATATGCAAAAGATCTGTGCACTGAACAGTGAAGGTGGCTTTAGGTTCACTCCCACTGCCCTGGAAGAGGGGTGCTTTGACCCTTACAGCAAGTCTGTGTGTGTGTGTGTGTATATGTGTCTGTGCGTGTCTGCGAGTGTGTGTGTGCATGTGTGCTTTAAAATTGGCAGCGTTGTTTAGGTGACATAACAGGTAATAGCTGCGTGCAGCCAACGAGCTGTTTTTTTAGAAACCGACGTTTCAGGGAAGAGGGGAAAGCTGCCACGGGACAAGGCCCCGTGGGGTTTACTATGAATGTATTGCATTTTGGAGAATATCTTGATCCAAAGAACAATCACTCCTGTGTGGTCCTTCGTTGCCCTCGTTTTAACTTTATTTTAAAGATCTTGGGTGCGTGAGGGCCTTGGAACGGACGTGGTTTTTTCCCAGCCAAGTCAGCAGTGTACGGACGGCACCTCAGTGAGAGAACAATGAAGGCTCGTGTTGGCCTAATACTTTGTGCAGCTGGATGTCGTTTTGGGTGTGGAGGAGGACGGGCCTGGCCACAGTGAATCGCAGAGAGAGACAGCTGTGGGCCTCTGGGCGTCACTGAGAATGTGAGGGGACCCCAAGGCAGAGCCCCTGGACTCTGAGCCTCACTCACTTGCAGAGAGTATTCAGGATGTCAACAGCTTTATTTTTTGTATCATTTATGTTTCTCTACGCACGTCACAAGCGATGAAACAGGACCTTTGGTGCAGTGCTTAAAATGCTATCAGAAAGCAAACAGCTCCCCTCCTTGGGGACTCGCCTTAAACTTGGCCTGCTCTGTACCTGTTCTGCGGGACTCGTGAGGAAGCGATCCATGACACAGTCCAAGTCTCTCTTGCGAGCCTGCCTGCACGCTGAGAAGAGTTGGTGTTTCCTTCCTGGCTTTGACGCCTTTCCGTTCATCTGTGAACTGTTCTGTTTCTGTGGGAATTAATCCATATCCTCTCCTAATCAGGGCTTCTGCCACTGCTGATGCAGATCCCCAGGGGGACCTACCCGAGATACAGCTGTTGCCAGGTGAGCAAAGCTGGGGGGGATGTCTTGGAAATGGACCGAGTCTCTGCACACATGTGTGAGCCATGGGGGAGGGGCCGTGTCCCTGCCAGAGGGACAGGCCCGAGGGGGACCGGACACGACGAGCGTCCAGAGGTCGTGTTGCATATTCATTTGCACATCTGTTGTCTGGGGTGGACTTGTGTGTTTGGCTTCAGTGTGAGGCTTTTAAAATGTATACCTGTTTATCAATAAAAACATGGTCGAAGTGGTTGAACCCCGTGAGACTTGGCAAGTGTGTGCAAATCAAGTATCCTTGACTTTCACCTCTTCAGTGTCATTTTATGTGAAATAAAGTTGCCGCTGACAGCCCCAGACAGCTGGGTAAGTGGCGCAGGTCCTCACTGACCATCAGCACCAGCAGCCTGGCTGCCACCGTCCCTGTCCCAGAGCCCCGAAATGCTCTGGTGCCATGCCGAGTGGTGCGGGCTGGCAGGCGCTGCCCTCCCAAAATGTGCCCTACCCACGTTTACCGTCTGCTCGAAGTCGATGCGTGTCATCCAGCTTGACTTGATTCAAAGCATTCCTGTCATTTTTTTAGTGCACTTTGAAATAAAAACAATTAAAAAAAACAATCTCTCTCTTGGATCCAGAATCTCAGGCACCTACAACTTCATTCAACAAACCTAACGTTTGTGCTCGAGGGAGCCCAAGGGCCGTGAAGAGGGCGATGGTGCCGGCACTCCGACCCACAGCACGAGGACCAGCAAGCTGCGCGCACGCCCACTATGCCCGCCCGTGGGGAGGCCGCCCGCACACTCTCGCACGGGGTGCCTGCTGGCATTTCGGATGTGCCGGGGCCCGGACACACAGCCCTGAGCCCGGCGGCCAGGCCGGCAGCAGCTCTCAGGCTTCTGTTTGTGCAGGATTTTGCTGCCACATCCCCAGTCTTCCCCCATTGGGCTGTGAGGGTAGACTCCTTATCTAGAGGTAGGACGGTGGCATTGAGGTGGATAATGGCAATATGACCCAAATGCGAAGGTGGCCAAATCCAATCTTCTGGTGTATGTGAACTTGGTTTGGCTGCTTAAGCAGAGAAAAGCATCCTGTAAGGTGGCCCAGAAAAAGCCCCTGAAGAGGCGGGTGCCCATCGAATCCACAGTGTTTCCAAAGTAGCATTCCGGTGTGCTCGGTGAAAGGGTGAGCTACTGGGAAGTCCTGACTGGGGACCAGATTCAGAACCTCAGTGCTTCTTACCCAACTGATAAGCAGAGACAGCCTGAAGACGCAAAGGGAAGATACGCTGTCATCTGTGGCTGGTTTTGCTTTCGATCTGCCAAAGGAAGCACAGCTCGGCTGCCAGGCATGATGGGGAAGACCGGGAAATTCTGCTTTCCCGGGGACCCGTGGTTTCCCAGGATTCCTGGCCTGCTCCCCCTCCCCTCCCCACTCACCCAGCATGTTCACAGACTGACATTTTATTCCTTGTATAGTTTATGAAGGCTAGATAAAAAAACTAAGCTAAGTAGGGTCCTGGGACACACAGTTTCCCGCTTTTCCTAGAGCTAGAAGAGCGGTGTGTGCCCTGGTCCCCACTGCTAGGTCTTCCTCGACCCCAGCAAGCCTCTCTGGTCCCGGGGTGGTTCTGCCTGGCCTCCCCGACCCACTTCTGTTCCCGGAGCCCGGCTTCTCCAGGGTGCTGCGCAGCCGTCGTCCTGAAGCACGTGTGTTCAAGCCCCCTTTTCCTGGGCTCCACATCCAGATCCTGCAGCTGATGCAGAACATTCTCTGCTGGTTCCTTGAAAAGGGTTGTTACCAGTCAAGGTTTTCAACATGGTGGCCTGTTGGAAAATGCCTTTATTCTACCCTCACCTTGGCTGGCGGACTGTGTAGCCGGATCGCGGGTTCTAGTTTTGGTCTTTTCATTCCCCCTGTTGGGAGCGCCATTCCATCGTCCACCCCCACCTCCAGCCCCCACCCCAGCACAGCCGCTGAAAGGGTCTGTGCCCCCTTCTTCCCATGTTTGGCCTCACGTGTCTGCCTGCGTTTTCAACCACAGGAAGCCTTTTTGTCCTCTTGCTATCGGATCCTCAGGTGTCCCCGTGGTTGGACTGGTATGCGTGCACCCCTCCTGTCCCAGACACCCCTCCGTTTTTCAGTCCCAGCAGGTATGATGTCACATATCTTCGGGAACTCCATCCTCTCCATTTTCTTGTTTTCCTAACTCTTACAGATTGAATGTTGCACTGCCTAGACTGGTCCTCTGATTTTCTTAACTGTCTATGCTCTGTTTTCTGAAAATAGTCTTAATTTTGTCTTCTAGCTGAGTATTTGATTTAGGCTATGATAGTTTTAATTTCTAAGGGCCCTTTATTAGTTCCTTTGTCCTTATTTTCTTTCTTAAACACACACACACACGGCTTTTTAAAAAGTGGGTTTAGATTCCCAGCATAACTGAGGGGACGGTTCAGTGGGTTTCCATATGCCCTCTTTCCCCACCATCAACATCCCCCACCAGAGGGTACCTCTGTCACAGTTGATGAGCCCACGCTGACACATCACCACCCAAAGCCCATAGTTTACATTAGGGTTCGCTCTTAGTGTTAATTCAGTGGGTTTGGAACAATGTATAATGACAGGCGTCCATACACAGAGTATCTTCACTGCCCTAAAAAAGCCTCAGCTCCACTTAGTCCTTCCTTCCCCTCCACCCTGCCTGGCAGCCGCTGATCTTTTCACTGTCTTCATAGTTTTGTCTCTCAGAAAGAAGGTCATCTAGTTGGAATCTTACTGTACGTGGACTTTTCAGATGGGCTTCTGTCACTCAGTGACAAGCATGTAGGTTTCCTCCATTTCTTCACGGCCTCATAGCTCATTTCTTTTTAGCGCTAATATTTGATTATTGTGGTGTGCCACAGTTTATTTATCCACCTCCTCAAGAGCATCTTGCTTGCCCCCCAGCACTGGCAGTTATGAACAGAGCTGCTAGAAACAGCTACATGCTGGTATGGACCTAAGTTTTCAACCCGTGTGTTCTGCCAGGAGTTGTAGTTTCCGGGTCTTCCGTTGGAGTTGATGTTTGTGTATGTGGGAAGGTAAGGGGTCCATTTTCATTCTCCTGCATGTAGATAACCAAATTTCTCAACTCCACCGTTTGTTGAAGAGACTGTCCTCTCCCCATCATGTGTTTCTGGCACCCTCTGTCAAAGATCAGTTGACCATACATGCCTGGGTTTATTTCTGGACCCTCCATTCTGTTCCGTTGGTCTATATATCTGTCTCTCTGCTGGTACCATACTGTATTGATTCCTGTGCCTTCAAAATATATTTTGAAATCAGGAAGTGCGATCGTCAGCTTTATTCTTTGCTCTCATGATTGATCGGCCATTTTTAGTCTTCTGTGGTTCTGTATGAATTTTAGAATTGTTTTTTCTAGTTCTGTAAAACATGCCATTGGGACTTTGATGGGGATCACATTGAATCTATAGATCAGTTTGGGTAGCATGGACATTTTAGTAATTCTCCTTCCAATCCATGAACATGGGATGTCTTTCCATTTGTGTCTTTCATTTCTTTCATCAATGTTTATGGAGTTTTTCACTTCTTAGTTTATTCCTAAGTATTTTATTCTTTTTTATGTAAATGGGATTGTTTCCCTAATTTCCTTTTCAGGCAGTTTGTTGTTAGTGTATAGACACGTGACTTTTTGTATATTGATTTTGTATCCTGCAACTTTTATTAAATTAGCTTTAACGGGTTTTTTTTTTTTTTTTTTTGGAGGTTTTTTTGCTTTGTTTTGGGGGGGAATCTTTAGAGAGTTTTTGATATATAAGATCATGTTACCTGCAGACAGGGATGGTTTTATTTCTTCCTTTCCAATTTGGATGCATTTTAATTTTTTGTGGTTCAGTGCTCTGGTTCGGACTTCCAGTACTATGTTGAATAAAAGTAGTGAAAGTAAAAGGCACCCTTGTCTTGTTGCAGATTTTTACTGCTGAGTATGATGTTAACTGTTGGCTTTTCATACATGATCTTTATTATGTTGAAGTACTTTCTATTTACAGTTGAGAACTTGGTTTATTGTTTTTAAGCATGAAAGGGTGTCGAATTTTGCCAGACACCTTTTCTTCATCTGTTGAGATGATTGTGTGATTTTTATGCTTTATTCTGTTAATGTAAGTGAATCACATGAATTGATTTTTGTTTGTTGAACCATCCTTGTATTCAGGGGAAAATACCACTTGGTCCTGGTGTATGTTTCTTTTAATGTGCTGTTGGATTTGGTTTGCTATTGTTTTGTTGAGGATTTTTATATCTGTTTTCATAAGGGACATTGTTCTGTAGTTTTTTTGTAGTATCTGTGTCTGGCTTTGGTGTCAGGATAATGCTGATCTCATAGAATGAGTTTAGAAGTGTTTCCTCCTCTTAAAATTTTTTTTTAAAGATTTATTTATTTATTTATTTGAGAGAGCGAGAATGAGAGAGAGTACATGAGAGGGGGGAGGGTTAGAGGGAGAAGCAGGCTCCTCGCCATCAGGGAGCCCGATGCAGGACTCGATCCAGGGACTCCAGGACCATGACCTGAGCCGAAGGCAGTCGCTCAACCAACTGAGCCACCCAGGCGCCCCTCCTCTTAAATTTTTTTGGAAGAGTTTGAGAAGGATTGGCCTGAATTCTTCCTTCAGTGTTTGGTAGAGTTTACTAGTGAAGCCATCTGGTCCTGGACTTCTATTTGTTGGCGGGTTTTTGATTACTGATTCAACTTCAGTATTAGTTATAGGTCTGTGAAGACTTAATAAAATCAGAAATGAAGGAGGAGACATTACAACCAATGCCACAGAAATAAAAATGACTATAGGAGACTATAAACAATCATATGCCAACAAACTGGACAGCCTAGAGAGGATGCACTCCTGGAAACATACAACCCACCAACTGGACAGCCTAGAGAGGATGCACTCCTGGAAACATACAACCTACCAAGACTGAATCACGAAGAAACAGCACACCACTTACAAGGCCAGACTCAATCTGCAGGAGTGCTCCAGGGGGCAGGTGTGTTAGTGGCACATCTTCATCTTGAGGAAGGATTTTGTTGGGAGGAGGGACTTGAGACCTCAAACTGATAAAGAAGCAAAATTCAAACTAAATGAAATGTTTGGGTTTCATTATGCTTCCTTCTACTGCACCCCCCCCCCTTTTTTTTTTTTAAAGATTTTATTTATTTATTTGATAGAGCAAGAGAATACAAGCAGGGGGAACAGTAGAGGGAGAGGGAGAAGCAGACTCCCCACTAAACAGGGAGCCCGATGCAGGGCTCGATCCCAGGACCCTGGGATCAAGACCTGAGCTGAAGGCAGACGCTTAACCATCTGAGACACTCAGGGGCCCCACCCCCCCTTTTTTTTAAAAGATTTTATTTATTTATTTGAGAGAGAGAATGAGATAGAGAGAGCATGAGAGGGGGGAGGGTCAGAGGGCGAAGCAGGTTCCCTGCGTAGCAGGGAGCCCGATGTGGGACTCGATCCCGGGACTCCAGGATCATGACCTGAGCCGAAGGCAGTGGCTTAACCAACTGAGCCACACAGGCGCCCCATCCATCCCCTTGTTTTGATTGTCATCCTTGAGAATGTCATGCGGAATGAACTAGGAAGGAGGAAACGGGCATGTTCACAAGCCTGCTGCAAGACACATGAACCTCCAAGAGCTTTAAAAGAAAGGGGCCACAGGAACGTTGGCGAGGTTGCAGGTCTTACGTGAACGTGGTCACTGCTTGTTTTCCAAGTAACAACAGCAACCAGGTAAGGCCAGACAACTGCAGAGATCCGCAAGGACCTCACTTCATCCAACTAAGGAGACTTGGGCCCTCCATTCTCACCCCACCTCCCTTCTCGTGTCCATCAGCTCGGATCCTAAAAATACCTGGCCCACTGTGCAGCCCCCTCTCTCTGGACCAAGTTGGGTGGCGGAGCTTTGCCGTGTGGATGTGATTTTTTTCAGTTCTGGGACATTCCAAAGAGATGTGATTTTGCAGGCTGATCAGATGGGAGCAAGCATGTACACTTACTGGGGGCCCCAACGCCCCTTGGGTTCTTCTTAATAGTAGTCCCACACACGAAAACCTGTAAAACTGCCTGCCTTGCAAGGCCTTATTGTAAGAGTATCACCAGGTTGTACAAAGGCATTCTATTCAAGTTACTCCAACACTTTATAAGTTCTGAACGAGAGCCGCTCACACCGTAATGTACATACACGTTCCCTGGCATCTTGGTAAAGGTTAGATTCTGATTCAGCAGGTCTGGGGTGCAGCCTGAGATTCTGCATTTATCACCGAATCCTGGTGACGCTAATGCTGCTGGTCCACAGACCCACACTTTGAGTAGTAAAATCTAAATGTCAGCCCACATGGGAAGAGTTAATTTGCCCTTGGTAGCTACTCAATGAAAGTATTAACCATTTGACCAACACTGAAATATACTTGCATAAGTAAAGAAGACTGTCTTCTGCTCTCCTGTCAAGATCATACACAAGATCATACACGTGTACACACACCTTTGTAAAGTCAGAACAGGAAGGACAAATAGAAAAGTGAAAGCAATTGGACTTGTTGAGGTGACAAGCCTTTTGGAGAATTTCAAAGTGTTTGTGGAATCAGCAATTAAAAGGAAAAAAGTACTCAATCCTGAAAGTAAACCACTGCTTTGAGTTGTTTATCGTCTACTCTAAAAAGTTTTAGAACTTAATCATTTTGGGAAGAATTTATGGCTTACTGAGAAAAGCCTGGAGGTTGATAGAGTTCATGTAGGAAGTTGGCTGAAGGACAAAGCAGCTCTTAACAATTATTTAAGCAGGAAAACGATTCAGTCAGTGGAGACTGGTTCCTTCCGTGGTGTCATCTGGGAGGTGAGAACCATTTGTCCTTCAGAGCCACCAAGCTGGCTGCTCTTGGAGTTGGGTGGTGTCACTGTGCCACGGCGGGGTGCACTCTCTCTCGGCATGACTTTGACCACTGGCCCCAGCCCAGCCATCCGAAAGAGGGAAGTCATCCAGCTGGGAAGGCACCTTCCTTATCTGAAGGACTGTTTTAGGCTGGAGGCATCATCCAATCAGCAGGGAGGCTCCCAGGGGACCACTTGAAAGGAAATGGTCCTGGGGTTGCAGAAGCTCTCCATAAAGACACGGCATTTTTTTTTACTTTGTAGTCAGGCTTTGCTGTGTCCCAGGCATGACCTGCAAGATGGCCTACCAGCTCTGAAATCCCCTCTTCTGACAAGCGCCGGGCTCAGCATGCCTGTGTGGATGGACGGGGACACTGTCCACCTACAGACTGACCCTCTGACAAACCAGCTCATCTTCACCTGGCCAGTAGAATTGGCTTGAGTTCCAATAAAAGCTCCCAGGGCGAGGTTTAATAATGACAGTGACCACCAGGACCCCATTTCGACATTTCCGGTTTCCAAAATGCCCTCCTGTCCATGATCTGATTGCATCTCACTATAGCCTTGAGGCAGATAACAAAATGCCCATTTCATAGACCAAAAGACAGGCTCCCTGAAGTTACTGAAGTGCCCCAGTCCTCACAGGGAGGGCAAGAGGAGGATCCCATATGGGCATTCCGGCTAGAATAAAACACTTTTTCTAATTTAGCTCCTCCTCTGTTTTTATTTCCTAATTACTGAGTTTAAAAAGTAATTTTAAAAAACCCTTTTTGAGTAAATAAGTCAAAAACAGTAACATAAATTGCAACCTTCACTGAGATTATTTCAATAAAATATTTTTAGTAGCGTTAGAACTGCAAAGTATATCCTGAAAACTTCATTGTTGTTTCCAGGCTAAATCATGTCCCCCTGGGCACTGGAGCAATGCCTGTCCATGTCCTCGTGACCCCTTCCCTCCAGGGAAGCCTTTGTGCTGGTCTTTATACGTTTGCAGGTGCAGGGCCCAACCTGAGATTTCTGGGCTCCGCCCTGACATTCAGACCCTGGATTTTTAGTGTCTGGGATGTGTGTGTCCACAGCTGAACACTCCCTGGCTCAGACTCTAAACCTGCCTGATCTTTTCTCCATGAGCTTTAATGCAAATCCTGGGGGGTTGGGGGGGGCGGAGCCAGGTCAGTGGCCAGGACATGCCCACCACGGTGTCCGTCAAAGCCTGGAGGAGCCAGCTGCGGAGAGAGGGAGGGAACTCAGGCCCGGAGGGTCCCAGGCAATGACTGGGAGAGGCTGGTCTGGAGCCCACAGGTGGCACAAAATGACCATTTTATGTTTAATGTTAACATTGGCAGTTTAATAATAATGTGAGAAGCTGGCTGACCTCGCAACTCACCTGCTCATCCAGAAGCAGCTCACAGAACTCCAGGAGGACCAATTTCTGCCACTCACAGGCTCACGAACGTCACCTTGGTGGCCAGGGCCCTGCGCCAGTGGGTGACCCAGGGGTAGGGAAGCTGAAAGAGAAAGTGGTTGGCGTTGGCCCTCAGCCTGGCATCAGCGTAACGTCCACCAGAGGGCACCACCAGACAGCAGATGTCCACACGCGGCTCTGGCCACAGACACTCCTGCAGCCAGGGCTCATCTGGCCAGGTGGTCCACTAATGCTTACTGAATGCCTACTGTGCGCCCGTGAGGCCTCTGCCCTCAGTAGACACGGATACAAGAAATTAAATGTATAATTATATCCCGTGATTCGTGCTATAAATGAACAGCAGCAGGGAGAGGGAACACCAGGGTGGACATCATGGGGAAAGAGGAATCAGGGAAGGGCCCTGGGGGAGGGAACAGCCTTCCAGGTGGAGGCAATAGCACATGCAAAGGCCCTGGGGCAGGGAAGGGCTGGCTGGTGGTGAGTTTTGTCTCTTTAACATCAGCCTGGAATTGGAGCTGCTTAAAACAAGAGAATGCTCTAGTGGAAGGAGCTGACAGAGCTCACGTGGCCCAGCCTGCTGGGCTCAGAGAAGGTGCCGGCGGGGGGGGGGGGTGTTCACACATGCTCACACCACTGGTTACCAGCTGAAGTAGGTTTCCTAAAGATCAGGCTAGCCATCTCCCCCAGGGCCCAGGAGCAAAGCAGATGGGCTTCTGAAGATCAGGGACTTCAGACATTTCCCTCCGGGGTGGGTTGTTAGGGCTCCTCGGGTGGGCAGGGGTGGGAGCAGGGGTGGCATCTGCTGTGGAAAGCACCCTGGAGGTACAGGGGAAGGAGTCTGAGTAGCCGGGAGGCGTCTGTGCATGGCCTTTCTCGGCACCGGGGACAATGGTGTACTGGGTGGCCTTGACAGCTATCCGGTAAGGGACTCTGTTCAACACCCCAGAAAGCTCAGCCATCAGGCGGCCTCCGGGAGGGTTACTCCACGGGCAGGTTTGGCTCTGAGTGCCCATGGGATAGGGCTGAAAGAGCCTGCCAGACGCGGCTGCAGTTCCCACACCTGCCACCCTCCAGCTGCG